TATATATATATATATATATATATATATATATCTATTCAAAATGACGTATTCTAGAATTAAGTTTATTGTTTAAAGCTGGGCATATTATTCACTAACATGCAAAAGGTAAATAATTTAAAGCTTGAGAAAATGTTATTTATGTTGCTAAGAGAATAGTCACCCAAGTCGCCCAAAAAATAAACCGTCTTTTTGGATAGTATTTATTTTACCATTTTTGTTCTACATTTGTTTTTATCATTTATAGCAGTACATGGCTTGCAAATTTTGTTTCAACCAGTTGCGAAACATTTCTACTTGTTTAGCATCTTTCATTATGTTTGGCTGCTGCAACTGTTAAGGATTTACTAATTTTATGCTATTTTTTTTAATCTGCAAGGCAGTTTTATCCTTTTCTCTAACACAAAAGAAGAAAAGAGTGGGCAAATAAATTGATTCTGAATTTTTTTTTACATTTCCCATATAATAACTAAACATCCTTCTCTAGGTATAAACTTTCAGTTTTGTATGAAGTTGAAGTTGATAAACTATGTGAATGAGGATATTTTCGGTTTTCATTTTTCTTTGTTGATGTGCAAAATTGTTCTAATACTATGTGATGCAATAAGAAGACAAAATTTTCAATGTGAATATGATCATTATGCTATAATAATTACCTTATTGTCTTTGCAGTCCAACAGAAGGACCAGAAGGCACTTGAGAGACTTCGCGCAGAAAGAAAAGCTAAGATTGATGAGCTTAAAGAGAGAACAAATTATTACACAACGCAACAGCTTATTCAGGTATATTTAAATTGCGATTATGGTGTCTTTCGTACTTGTTCATGTGTCTTCAAGCGTACAGCACTAAACAATGACGTATTTAATTCAGAAGTATGACTTGGATCCCGCTGCAAAAGCTGCAGCAGCAACTGTCCTAGCATCAAAGCTGGGAGCAGATTCTGGCTTGAAAGTATTCTTAGGTGATGACTCTACAGTTGCTAGCAGCATGTCAACAGGTAAAAGCAATGATATGGAGATAGTGCAATCTAAGGGACTTCGAAACAGAAAACCATCTCACACGAGGAGCCACAGCACAGGAACCGTACAACAGTTTGTTGATGATCCATCCATTCGCTACAACACCGAAGAACACGATGCTGCTTTACAAAATCAAGAGTTTGTTGAGCATTACAAGGGACCAAACCCTAATGAAGGTGGATGGCTGGCGAGAATAGCAGCTCTACTGGTGGGTGAGGATCCGAGCCAATGCTATGCTCTCATTTGTGGCAACTGCCATATGCACAATGGTAAGGGAGTTGTTAAACAGCGTACTTACCATTACATCCTTCTAACGCCCTAAATACGTACAGGTTTGGCCAGGAAGGAGGATTTTCCTTACATAACATATTATTGTCCACACTGCAATGCATTGAATGGTTCACATCAAGCTGAGGAAAATGCTTTGGATTCAAGTTCCGGTAACGAAACTCCTGGCACCTCCGGAGATGGCAGTGTTTCCAGCAGCGTTTCCTCTTTGTTGGGTACTCAAATTTCAAGTAAGTCGTCACCTCTGCATGTACTGCCCGAAGCAGTTGAAGAGATTTCAGGAATGTAGTTTTAGAGTTCTTTGTGTTATATTATTTAGTTTCCCGTCTTTTGATTGTTTTCTGAAGGGCGGACACTTGAGAGGTTGTTGTACTAATTTTGTCTATAGTCAGGTGAGTTTGAACAGAAGTTTGGTGCTGTATCAATACATGTAAAGTATTCTATTCCACGACATTTTTTTATTTATATGTGGATAAATATTTGAATGCAGTTGCATTCTTTCTTATTTTACTGTGCTAGACCTTTGATTTCGCAAAACTTTGTTTTATAGCTCCCGTTGTAATCTTAATCTTCCAAATATTCGGTTGTTTTTGTTAATGTGATTTGCATTCGTACGCTTAAACATCATAGCCTGACGGGACTTGTCAAGTAAGCTTGTAGCTCGTAAAAGATTGTATTATTATTGAATTGCCATAGGATAAAAGTAACTCTTCCTCAAGAAGTGTCTATAGTTGCAACTTATCTAACGATCTGAGTGGAGCAACTCGCAGGGAATTTGTCTAAAGTGATCAACATGCACTACTCGCTCGACCCATCAAGGAACTCAGTCTTCTTGAGCAACCTTAGGCACTCGCTCTCCCTTCGAGCGACTATCCTCACCAATCTCATTCATAAGAAAGCACCTACTCACGAGATCTGCAACCTACCTACTCACCACCATCAAACTCATGAGCTCTCATTCCTTACGATAATACCTCAATCGCCTCTCTCCTCAGGTGGTCTAAGAATTCGCACAAGTCACCAACAAAGTTAGCAAGCATGTTAATCATAGGTCCCCTTTCATCTTACTACATGCTTAAGCATAATCACTCTTGTCTACTTAGCACTATCGAACACAACCTAAAGAAAATCACCAGGATATTTCGTCCTTGCTATCTTTCATCCTATTTAGAGATGGTGCGCATTTAGTATAGTGTGCAACATTGTGTAAGTATTTTGTATAGCATTATATCTTTTTATTATTTTTATATAATACTTTCATTAATCTTCATAACTCTATAAATAAGGGGTGATGGGGAATAATTTCAGGACTTTTGGGTCTTGATCACTTTGATTGTTAGTGAATATTCTATCATTTATTATTCGTGAGGCAAGTTCCCGATTTCTAGTGAGAGAAAGTCTGGTTTTCTAGTGAGAGAAAGTTCCCAATTTCAAAATTTTCGTTCCCGCGCGTTTCTCGGCAGCGGGTGGCGCAGCCACCGGATGTTGATCGGCGACATTGGCGGTTCATA